CATAGACAAACATAGGAGGTGGTCGCTCCGAGGATTCGTGACTTGGGGATGCGAGATACTGTATCCATTTTCTACCTACGAAATTGCTAAACCTATCCAGAAAACAATTCCCCAGATAATCCTAGTTCTTGTGACGGTACTGGCAGTGCTATATACCGCCGGAGATTGCAACGTTGGGCCTGCCCATCGAAACGTTCCATTTTGTAGTGTTGCGATAACACTCCCAGTGGCGTTTTCGTGGCCAGCTCCTGTGCGGGGGACTGTTCCTTTATCGGTGTAATTCTGACCTCTCGTTCCCGTACACGGCATCCCGCCACCTTTAGTAGTCGGCACTATAGGGCTTGTCCCTGGCAGAGGAGGGAAAGGCCAGTCAGTGAGTGAATGCATTGTCGTAATGTCACTACGTCCCTGTGGCGAAACGGTCGGAAGAACATATTTAGTGGAATAGGACGTAATCGTCGAGGTGTGCAACTGGGTATTCGCATCCGACGCGAGCCACGTTGGGATCGAGCCTTCCGACCCTACGGTAGACGTCGAGGATGTATTGATTTGTCCCCATACTAGCCAAAAACTTCCCAATGAGATGGAACCGGATTGAGGGATTGATTGAGACCAACTGATAGTGATTAGTTGCGGATTTGTGCTGCTGATGTCGACTTACACAGGCGGCTGTAAAAGCAACCACCACCGAAGCAAAGTAAGTGGCTGCATGTCGATCCTGGCCCGAAGAGCTTGCTTACGTTTGTGCTGATAGTCAGCAAGCATTTTATGTGAAATTTAAATCCCTCGGTGGACCGTGGTTCAGATTGTTGGCTGAAAAGAGTGGGAGCCGCAGCACCGAGCTTGAAACCAAAGTATTCTGAGGTTGACAGCCTATAAGATTACAACTTCTCCACTGGCACAACTCCCTTCCCATTCCTTCAAGTCTCTTAACAATGTCGGACAGAAGAGACTCTGCGAGCGGCGGGTCCGATGGGGAGACTGGCAAGAAGGGCGCAGAAGGCGGCCAGGCGGATACAACGAAAGAAGGATGGGGAAAAGGCAAGAAACCCCGACTAGGAACCGCAGATCCTACAAAGCCTAGAAGAAAGTTCAAACCCGAAGCGAGAAAATGATTTGAAGAGAAGAAGGCAAAGCAGAACGCACTCAGGGAACAACTTAAGACCGATGGCGACGCGGAAGGAGTCGAACAAAGTCTCGAGGCCATTGACAGAGAAATCGAAATGATCGAAGCCGACGAAGAAAGCTACCTTTCAGATCCAGACACACCAATGCCGACAGTTGAGGGTGAAGCTGCTCAAAACCAACAGAAAGACGACGATGAAAAAGACCCTGAAGTGGTTCCTATACAAGGGGGGGAATCCTCTGAACTCTTCCCAGGAGCTCCGCGTGTTACCGTTGCCAAAATGTGTAAACACGGAGATGACGATGGTTCACCTACGTACCTGAATCGCTACGGGCCTCGTCGGTGTGGCTGGTTCGTGTTCAGCTCTACCCTGGTCCTCCCGGAAGGTTCCACCGAGAAGGATCTGATCAATATCTCTGATAAGTTTAACCGCGTCTTAGATTACCCCCGCCCTCAGGGTAATGCTAAACCCAGGATTGGTGATGTGGCAGGAAAGTTAAACCTGGCTTTCGATTGCCGCGGTTTTGAAGATGATCCCCTGCAAGCGGTGGAGCTCTTAAATCCTCAGACGGTGAAAAAATCAAATTTGTACAAGACGGGGAGTGAGCGTAGGGCTCATAAGGCTGAGTTGGATAAGTACCCTTCCGTGAAGATTCAACTTGCATTCAATGGCGAATGGGGGAAACCATCTTGGGAGTTGAGTTCTGCATTTAGGCAACTGTATCGAAAGAATCAGATCAGTGCTGAAGAGGAGATTTACCAATTCGCGCGCAAGAGAGCGTCGGCTTTCCTCAATTGGTACGAATCCAGCAAACCCCAGGAGTTTGAGAGCTATAAGCGATCGATGAGCCGGGACCCGACAGCGGAACCACTACGCAAACAGCCACATATCTCAGCGAGTCCCCCTCCAACTTCTGAGACCGCTCAGTCACGTGAGCCTGAAAAGAAACAGCTTCTTACACCTCCTCCGGACCAGGAAGGTGGAAAGGAAGCTGAGACGACAAAATCGCCTTCAAAAGGCAAACAGAAACTGAGTCCCGAGAAATTCAAGGAAATTGTACTAAAGGCTTACCGACAGGCTGAAGGGATAAAGGGTGAAATGACTGATGAGCAAGAAGCAGAATGGGATATCTACTACGATGTCTATGCGCAGAAGCGGGGATACTGATGGGAATGTTTGGAATGGAGATGACTGAAAAAGGGCTTGATGAAAGGCTGCTAAATTGTTTATAGATATCAATTTCATAGGTCCTCAGATACAGAATACTACATCCGCGGGCGGAGTGTAAAATTATCATCTCGAGCACAACACCGTACGACCCTGCTGTACCTACCCTGCTGAAAGGTACTTACATATTTGGTGCTTTATGCGTGTACCTGGCCTCATTTTTTTGTTTCACATGCTTTTATGGCCATATCGGTCGTACAGTACTAAAGATCTTGTAAAATTCTAGAAAGGGTTTTAGGAACGCGAACAGTGCGTGTTTCGTTGTCATTTTAATGTCCAGGAACATGCTGACTCTTACTGCAGACTGCCTGCAAAGTCGATGAATTGCAGACATGGTTTCTAGAGTAATAGTGTAACTGCAGTATACAGTGTACCTGAACCGAGTTCTGCGGTTGACTGTTTACCAATTCCTCTGAGCATCTTTGTAGGATGCCGAAGTTTTGGAATATTTCTAAACATTCTCTCGTCTCCGAATGTGACCATGTAAAAAGGTGTTCTCGAGGAATTTTTGAGGTGATTTTACACATTTTATTTGGTTGAGCCTGCTTGAAGCTGATGCGAAATGAGTAGTCTGGCTGATCTTCGAGGGTTAACGTGATAAGCCAGCTGCGACATGAATTTTTCAATCCCCAGGAGCTGGTCGATCGTCTCCTTGGAAATTCTCTATGTTCTCAAGCGAGTCTGCACATCGCCATCCGTGGCGTGGTGCACCATTGACACCATAGCTAGAAAAGAGCTGTCTCACATAGAGCATCGCGAAGATTCGCGCACTGACTTTCGAACACGTCAACCAGCTCATGTAGAGCCTCATTTTTTTTGCCGTATACTAGCCAAGATGGTGGCTTACTTCCATAAATCCTGTTCCAAGGATTTGAGTCTTCCTGGTCCATCGCAACGGTTGAGTATCAAGAGAAGGTACCGCTCCAGTTTGTGGTCATGGTGGCGGAGTAGACATCCACATTGATACGTGAGCTCCTGCAGATGCTCTTCCGTTGTATTTTGAGACTGCTCGAAGGCCAAGGCGTCTTTGACTCTTTCCATGTGCTGCGAGTCGTGAATCACTGACTTTAGTGCACGAGAGCGGGCTAGGCTGACCCAAGGCGCCACTCGTATAGTCTTTACTGTAGCATTGCAAGATGATTGAAGCAGAACGAAGCCGACGAAGGTCTGACATCGTCATGTGTTAAAGTATAGACTTCTCGGTGGTCGGACGATTGTGCTGATTGCTAGCGTCAACCTCCTCAAAAACCTGTGGCCAGGTGCAACAGGCGGGCATATTTCGGCCACCGCTCACTGCCACACCACGCCAACTTTCTGCTCCGTTGTGGGCGCTTCCAGCGCGAACGATTCCCACAAAACTTTGAGGCCAAAAATACAACAGTCATAAGTCCTGGATTGCCTCGCCATTTTTATCATCGACTATCCGCGGTGACGAGGTACTGTCATGTCTTTGAGCTACCCCACACATACAGTAACAACTGTCTCGACCATCATGAGGCTCGCAGCGCCTCGATCCACCAGGGCGCTTCGCCAACTGGTGCCATGTTCAAAGCCGTGGATAAAATGTCGTGGATGAAGCGACATTATGATTAAGCCATGGCAGCTCTCCCGCACGTACCACAGTATCCGAACGAAATGGGTTTGGGAAACACGACGTCTACTCTGATTATCGTCGGCATAGTCTTTACAATTCTCCTTGTTGTCTTTCTTGGGCTTCTTGTCCTGTTGTTTGTGGTTATACGTCCCGTCCGAGGAAAACAGGAGGCACCCTCACGACTAATGGATGGTACGTCTTAGATCTATTTTCAGCCTTCGACTAAATGTCGGCAGAAGTAGCGATGAGCTACATGAATAAGCCATTACCACGACTGCCGTTTACCAGCACAGCCCAAATTGACGGTGTTCGGAAGAAGCGAAGATCCCGCCTTCAGCCGTTTTTCATGGAAGACGACGATATCGAACGAGGGAATGGAAGACTCTCTCCACTACTCCGAGCGCACGATCGACATAGACGACAGAGCAGAAGATTTTCAGGTCTCCCGCTTCGAACCACTCCATCGTCTAAACCCACTGTGACGGCACCTGCTAGTAACTACACAGGTGAAACCCTACGGCCTTCTACGCTAGCTACACATAATCTGCGGTCGGATAGAGAGGAGGTAACCTTGGGCTTGGATCAGGGAATCCCAATGACTCCTACTCGAGGATCAAGACCTGTGCCAGCAAGGCCACGGCTAAATGTGGATATAATTCCAGAAGAGCAAGGTAAGAGCTGGATCTATTTTCAGTAGAAGTGCTGACCATTAAGGTACCTCCACAACCCGAGTCTCAGTAAATCCACATCCATCACCGACTGGTTTGTCGAGTACCATGCTCTAAGAAAAGCATTTCCAACGATTGATGTTCCATACAAAACCTTGCATAAGAACGATGGACGGATGTGTTCAGAACGGGAACATCGTTCTGTACTTGGCAAATTCCAAGATTGAAAGAGGGTAGTCAAAGGATACTGCCTTAGCCAGTTCCTTCTGCTGTTTGGTTTGAATTGGAACGGGTTGACCCGGCGTTGGCGTCCGAAGATTTTCATTTACAACGGATGTACAATTAATATGTTATTATACTGAAGCTAGTACTTTGACCTGCTATCTAAATGACCTTGACATTGTTGATAAAGTCTTCAGCACTCGCCCCGATCGTTGAGTAGATGGAGATTATTATACCTATGGAACGACATGAGATGCCGATTTCCTTCGGATCGTTATTGTAATTTATGGCTATAGAAAGCTCCTCATACCTCCCCATGAAGTGTACTGGGTCTCGTGCTCCCTCAACGTAGTTCTCCAAATAGATCCCTCATCGACTTCATTATGCATAGGCAGGGCCGGTATGGAGGTGACCTCTGCGCCATTTGGTCCAGTCGTCGCGTTCCACATCGGACTACCTTGAGAGAAGTACCCAGGGTCAGTGCGACTAGTCCAATCATTATATCGAATGCTGAGAGACGGTTCAGAAGCGTCGACAGAGACAGATTGAACTTGAAGTTGACCGGTCATCGGTCTTGACATGAGCATATCCTGGAAACAGGCTTGACTTGGCTCAAATACATTGCCGTCTGGGACCGAATTGGTGATCGCGTCAGCACGTTCGGCAAGAAAGTAGCTAGGAGATCCGGACTGATTCCACATTGACGATGCACGGTCGACGCCGTTCACTGGGCACCCAGACCATGATTGTTGTCGAGGAATTTGCTGAAGAGCCACAGCCAGAACATCGTCGCCATTGGCCACTTCATCTTTGCGGACGTATCCTGCTCGCGATAGTGCTTGCATATTGTGTTGAAAAGTTTTGACCACTTCCTGTATCGGAGAGTCGTAGCGGATTACATGGATCAGATATTGCAGTTCCTCTGAGGAACTATACTTGATACATCGCAGTAAAGAGTCAAGGGCGCTCAGAAGCTTTATGGAAGGAAACTGTCGTGTGTTTTCGACATCGTAGTCGCAGGGCATTCCAGACTGCACACATGGTTTGCAAGGGAATGGGCCACCAGAACACTGTCCGATGTCAGTAACGTCGATATCTAGCTATGGCACGAGGTCGAACCTTCCGTTTCCGCTTCCTGCATAGTTTGCAGGCTGCAACGACTCGAGTTCCTAGACGCCGACGTCCCATAGAAGTACCAGACCGGGGCTTGTGGGAAGAATTTACC